CACAAATGCAGTCGAAACTGGTCAGGGTCAGCCAAATCTATGGAACCTGCTATGGCTTGCGAGATGGTGCAGAGCATAAAAGATCAAGGTGAAAAGGTATGAATTGTATAGATATGTTCGAATTTATATATATATCTGTGTACATTCAATATTCAAAATCCATGAAGAGCTAAGAGGTGAAAGTGCTATGAATTAAAATGCCACCTTCCATGAAATCTTTATTACATATTTATATATACTGTATACAGGGAAATTTTTGCCCCCGTTTTATTTTTGCCCCTTTCGCCCTTCTCTCATTTGGGCGAATTTAAAACGGGGAGAATTCAAAGAAGGCAGTATAATTTCTTAACCAAAACTATGTTCAGGTGAATTTAAAACCTGACAAAATTGTTTGCAAGTGTGAAAGGGCGAAAATAAGATGGGGCAAAAATAACCCTGTATACAATATCTGAAGATTGTAAATGAAAGTGCTAATGCATTACTGTTTTTTATTTTGCTTATAATTATAAAATGTTGTTAGGTTACCACGTTAGTAATGGACAACGATTCTACAACAATAGCCAGATTGAGAGCAACTGTTGATCCAGATATAAAGAAAAAGGTGGACAGCAATCACATGAAAAAAGGGTTTACTGGAAGTCTTGTGGAAATCAGCAATACCCATAAAGTATTGAAAAATGTTAAAGTTAGAACTCACATTGAGAGATGCTTTACATATTGTGTTCATCAGGCATCTGAAGATCCAGAAAAGTTAGCCAATGATCTGGGGAAAATTGTTCCTCATTTATATGGTAAGAATACTACTTGCAAAAAGAATGAACACATATTTAATGTTTGACACTGGCAAGAAAAATAATTTTGTTTTCTAATTATTTTTAGAAATATTTAGAAATTGGTCTGAGTTCATGATAATGTATGAATGCTGTATTTGTATTAGTGTATTTAATCTAAATAGGGGACCATTCCATGTGTGGCACATGGTGCAGGAGTGAACAAACTGGTTACAAACCAAAAAACTTGCCATATGGGAAACCTCTAACAAGTGAGCCTCTGAGATCAGCTCTAGAAAAACTGTTTGAGAAGTATGCAGACCGGGCAACCGAGTTGGTGTCGATGGGATCCACTCAAGTGAATGAAAATTTTAACCACATGGTCTCTAGCAAAGCACCTAAAAGAATGTAAGAATTTTTAATTTTCAAATTTATGAAATGATAAAAACCATGTACATAGATAAAACATATACCTTTTATTAATTAGACTTTGTCACCTAAACTGTTCATAGGTTTTATGGAGGTTCAGACAGTCTGCATAGTAGAGTATCTGCAACTGTCTGTCAGAAAAATGAGGGGTATAATTATATAACTGAGGTATACAAATGAAAAAAATGTTCTTTGATGTTCTTTTGATGTTCACACATGGCAGTTTAGGCAATGTCTATAAAGTAAAGTATTTAAAAGGAAACATCAAAAATACCCATACATAGCCTAAACTTGTTTGTGTAGTTTTTGTTCTTGTCTTGTTTACATTTTTATTTTTTTTATTTACTTGACCCAGTTTCATTTTTAATGCGTGATTGATTTTCAAGGGTTTTAAAAGTTTTTAGAGAATTATATCTATAAAATGTGTGAATTTATTGTAACAGTAAAACTTGTTTAGTACGAACACAGATATTGCGAATTCGCAAATATAGCGAAGTCATCTTGGATCTCCATCTATATAAATTTAATGAACTTCTTATATGGATATAAAGAATTACATATATATGAAGCAATTTTATAGGTCCCGGTGACTTCGTTATAACCGAGTTTTGCTGTAATACATTTTAATGCAGACACATTTGATATTTTACTCCATAAAATATATAATCTCTTTACTTGAAAAAAAATTTATTACATGTTTTACATATCGATAAGGATCTGTTGATTCTTCTTTTTCTTTTCCAGAAAAAGTTTTCAATTTCATATTTGTTATTTTTCTCAGGTGAATAAAAGGCTGACAATGTCTCCTGGAAGATACACCCTCAATCATTCCAGGATCCTACAAAGCAGACTGAAGCTGAAGCGATTGCAACAAGCAAAGCGGAGCACAAAGCGGAGGCGTTTAGAGCTGAAGTCAGAGCGGTCTTCAAAAGATGCATCACAATCTGTTCTTGAAGGTAAGTCAGATAAATACAATCTATCTGAAACTTAATTTAGATGTTTCTTTTTACCTATCATTTTTTCCAAACATTTCTATTGCAGCGGATACATACAGCAGCAAAATTGGTTTGAGCGAAGAAGTTGATTTAGAAGACATTTCTCTGAATAAATTAGATCAACTACCGAGTACTAACAAATCCTACATGGTATTTGACCTAGAGACTACTGGTTTAGGTTTGTGAACTATTTTTTTCTTTGTAGAAATATCTAAGGAATATATTATATAAGGTTAAGAGAATTGTGTTTCACTTGACTTAGAAGTATACACTATGGGAGTTTCAATATTTATTTTTATTTATTTCAGCCAGGACATCGGACATTGTTCAGATTGCAGCTGTATGTGGAGAGAGAGAGTTCAACATGTACTTGACACCGCAGTCCCCAATTAGTCTTGATGCATCTGCAGCAACTGGGCTTACTTTTGTTGGTGGTGTTCTGAAGCATAATGGCAAGAAGGTGGACCATAAAGAGCCCTTTGAAGGACTTCAGCAGTTTGTAGAATTTTTGAAGACTGTTGATTGTAAACCTATTTTGGTTGGGCACAATATACAATGTTTTGACCTACCAGTGTTAATGAATCAGCTAGTCAAATGCAAATTACTTGACAGTTTTGCTAACACTGTCACTGGTTTTATAGATACCTTACAAGTGTCTAGGAAATCTTTCAGCAAAGATGATGTTAAAGATTTTAAACAAGTCACTCTTGTAAATACTTTCATTGGAAAAGATTATGAAGCTCATAATGCTATTGCTGATGTGAAGGCATTGAGAGAACTTTTTGAAATGAAGTTGTTGGCTCTGTGTTCAGCTAATGATGTGTTCACTTTGAATTATTATACCACAAAGAAGTCTTTAGAGCCCCTTGTTAAGGCAAAGATTGTATCTTCAATGATTTCAAAGAAGTTGATTGCAAATTCTCTTAGTTTGTCTAAGTTGGTGCTAATCCACAAGAGGGATCCACATAATGGGTTACGAAATGTTTTTAGTGAACCATTATCGGGTTCAAAGCAGCCTAGAATATCCAAGTCATCTAATGTAATCAACAAATTGGTTGAATATTTGAATAGCTGTGAATGATTACTGTTTGTATTTATTTTAATTTAGACAATACAGTGTGTAAAATAAAGGTCTAAAAACTTGTATGGGAGATTTCAGTCAACACTCAACCTAACGTTCGACTGTATTTGTTTTTTATGCTGACTGTTAATATTCTGTTGTATACTAATTTTTTGTGTATACTGTTGAACACATAATTGGATGTATTTTGACTCAATGTAGTGGAAAGAGTAATGCTTCAAAATTGATGACTGATTAGACTGTGGATTTTCATTTCATTTACTTGAAAAACAGATACATGTATAATACATGTATGTGAAATATATCTGTAATTAATGGCACACAGAAAGTATTGTAGGTTGTAAAATTATATTATATTCTAGAAAATGTTGTTATTCTTTTGCAGTTATGCATCTATGAAATGAAATAAAAGTCATCAATAGCTCTGGATTTTTTATCTTCCCTCATTTGAAATTACTTATCAAAAATCTCAATTTTGACAAAAAACGTGTAAATAAATGGTGGTGCTGAGAAAAAATATATGCTGGCAATGTGCTGTTTTTTTAATTTAATTTTAACAAATAGTCATAGATGAACATAATTTGAGAATTTGACTGAAAAATCACAAGTCATTTTTTTTTTACAATAATTTTAATAGTGTTGTACTTCCAAGTTTTTGGGCTGGTCGAGGGTTGTATTTTGTTCAATTTAGTTCCCAAAAACCAAGGAAAATATAATAAGAATAAAATTTCACTGTAATTTGTTTAATTGGATATATTTCTTTGATTTTAATAGGAAAAATCATTCATTTGCATCAAAAATAGTGTTTTTATGTACAAATTATGTGAAACCTTTATTGGAATCTCATATCGTCAATTGACAAATGGGGGTACCTATGTTTGAGAAACTCTCTCTCAGTAATAATATTGACAACCCCTTCTTTTTTCCAATTCATCATACTTTAGTATGAACAATCTAAACATTTGAGAACAATTTTTTGAAAAATCACAAGTAGGTCCAGTACTAGGGACCTACCTTAAATCATTTGCCATATGATATTGCTTCATTGAAAAGAATCAAAATTCACTTTAAACTAGAGGTACTGTGAGCGATGAGCTCACTAAATGATACCCCCCGCCTCCACATAGTTATAATGGCAAAGTCCATGTTTTGATGTGGCCGGAAAGCCCGAAATATGTGTCGGATCAAAAAGTAAAATAGGAGTTGCACAATGGCAATATGTAATAAAGATTCTGTGCAAGTTTCATCGAATTTCATTCAGTGGTATGAGAGGAGTTGCGGATAAGAGATTGGTACCCCAAAGCGTAACAGACGGACGGAAGGACGGACAGATGGACAGACGGACGGAATTAACGATTAATATATACCCTCCCACTTTTTAAGCGGGGGGGGGGGGGTATAAAAAGGGCAAAAAAGATGCATGATTAGTAGGCCATATGGAAGTCCAAAGACTTTCACAAAGTGGGTGATACAGTATTTTTTAAAATTTGGTCTGTCTGTCCGTCCATCTGTACACTTTCATTTCCGCGCAATATCTTAATTGAGAAGCTTTTGAGCTTTTACAATGAAATTTTACGCAGCAATTCCCTATGGCTTAAGGAAGACACCTATTAAAGTTTGAGTTCGACCACATCAATTGATTAAAATGCCATAATCAAAAATTTAAATAATTTGGTCAATATTCTCATATACAGGCAAACTCTAACAAGATGTGGTATATTGTAGATTTGTGGTCAGTGGTCCCTTAATTCACAAATTTTACATTTTGCTGGACAAAATAATGCCACCAAAGAAAGAGAAAACAGCTATTGATGGAATCAAGCGAGTGATTGTGGACAGATTGATTTTCGCACCACCCTTCCTGTTGTTGTTTTTATATGTGATCACGATTTTAGAGGTAAGATGAAACATAATTTATAACATTGTAGATTGTACAAACTAACATTTATCTGTTAGCAAAATTATTTTTATGTTTTATTTTTAATCTACCTTATTTTATTGACAGGGTCAAGGACACCATGCAGCTATAGCCAGAATTAAGGAATCCTTCTGGCCCGTCTATAAGTTAAATCTACAGGTGTGGACCGTGTTTCAATATGTGAATATCAACTATGTACCACCAAAGGTAAACATGTTTTATGTGTGTTTTTTCCCCTCACTTCATCTGATAGAGCTGCAAAATTTTAGCCTTCTGCAATTTTTGTTGTACTTAAACTTTTCAAGAAATTAGAATTTTACCACCCTTCCTCCCCTTTTCAAAAAAAATAAAATAAATGAGTGGGCTACACTTTTGCAGCTACATCTTATTGTTGTGCTTTAATGGTTTTTATGATACATGTATTGAAGTAAAATCTATATTGTACTATAGATAAAATTATCAAAGAAAAAAGGCTATTGTTAGCTAAAATGGCCTTCAGTGTGCAAATGTGAAAATGGGAAATTGATATAGATAGATTTTTAATGATATTTAACCCTCTCTTTTTCAGTATCGTGTTTTATTTGGGAATGTGTTAGCCTTAGTCTGGTCTATATTTGTGGCCTCAAAGAGAAGGAAGATGGCACTAGCTGCCAAACAGTAAAAGTACGAAGAGGATAGGTCTACTCTACATTCCATCATCACCATTAGACGTTATTAACCAGGGCAGATAGGGTTCCCCTTTTTGATTACATGTATTACCAATATTTGTTACATTTTATGCTGGTTATAGGACAGTATTATTTTATAATTTTTGGAAGATGTAAAAATCATGTTTTATAGAACATTATTTTGATCTTTAACTGAGAATGTTTGCTAAATTGATGCATGAAGGTTGCCTGGGTGCATTATTTTGCAGATGGTATTTGATGGGAAATATAAATGTTAATGATAGATGAGTAACATGAAGTAATGTCTGTTTAGTCCACACTGAGCAAAAAAGTAAAATATATTATGTCCCTTTGCAAGATCAACCAAAAATTCAAGTCAAAGAGGGAAGAATATTAATTTCTCTTCTTTTCACTAATGCTACTAAACATGTAGACAAAATGCAGTAAATAAACATTCTATTACCCATTATTTTTTTTATTACATGTTTTTTGGTACAACCCTATCCTGAGAAAAAATCAAAATAGAAAATGCAAATAACATTAACAAGGATAAAAACCAGATGGTTTCAAATGTTACTTTGAGAATTTTTTGTTTTGTTTTGAACATCTTATTGTTTAATTCATATAAAAGGATTGTTTACAAGAATTCAATAGATGGCATCCAAGGGACATAATTTTTGAAAATTGCATTTTCATCTATTATAATAAGATTTGTGCCTCACACTTAATACACATATCTTTAACCTTTAATAGGTTCTGGGAATCTACAGATATATATATATTTTTAATTTTCTTTTGATTTTGTTATTTTTTGGTTTAGATTTATTGTTTGTTTTGTTCCGTTTTTTTTTTCTTTTCTTTCTTTCTTTTTTTTTCTTTTGCAGCAATGAATAACTTTTCCTCAAAGTGAAATCCATTTATTCTATTTTGATGTACTCTGTTCAGGTTTATTTACTTCAAGACATAAATAAGCACTTTTGTTAGAAAAAAGGTTAACACAGTGGAACGCAGTTATGGACTGATGAATATATTTTTATTGTTTCATGGTTAGTGTATAAATACCAGTATATTGTATGCTTAACTAATCATGAAATGATTTTTAAGTGTTTATTCGAATAATGTTATATTTTAAAATTTGTATTCAAATGCAATTTACAAGTGTATTGATTGATTTTATGCATTCAACTATATGTGATTTTATATAATTATAGCAGGGACCTATTTACTGTTTAATAGTATAAAGTCCCTGATTATAGGTTTAAATGCAAAGTTAATTTTGTATAAATCTAGAGAATGTTATAAATTAAAATAAGATATCATAAACCCTTTTGACATTTATTTTTGTTAAATCACCTGAAAACCCACTAAACTAGTGTTGTGAGGAATCATGGCACTTAAGGGACAACCATTGAGAGGGGAAGGGAGAGGGGGAGTGCAGATTTTGAGAGACTCTCAGTCTCCCCCCGCACAAGACACAATATAAAAGTGGGGGTAAGAGTCAGAGGAATCTCGGATTATAGATGTATATAATTGGTTTTATCTATGAAGTTGATGACTACTATAAAGGGATACATGTACAAAATCCAATTTTAAATGTGGGCTGACCTGGATTTTCATTGCGCAGTATTTCGCGCATCATAGTAAAACGAAATGTATTTACTGTTTTAAAGCAATTTTTCACTCAATAAAAAATTTAACAAAATTAAGAAATATCAGGCTGAAAAATTTAAATACATTTCATGTACCGGTAACTGATTTTTAAAATAATTTTTCATTTGATAGCTAGATTGACGTCATAATAGTGTGTTTTTGACATTAAAATAATGTAAAGCTCATAAAGAAGGGATAATAAAAAATGTTATAAAAGAGAAAGTAATAAATAGTGGAAGTCTTGCATCACAGATGATTGTTCCCAAATCCTCAGAATGGAGCCTATGGAAAACTATCTATATCTCAAGAAGTACGAGTGTATGGAATTTCGGAATGAGTTTTGGTAGAAATGAAGATTGTTTATCTATGAATAGATTTAAATAGAAAGTAAAATTTTAGAGCATTTGATTAAAAAATATTTTATTAGCGAAATTGGGTACCCAATCTAAGAGTTCTATACCCTTATCTTTTTTTTACACACAAAATTTTTTAGGCGATTCAAAGGCCTGTGGTATAAACATTTATCTCATTCGTGTGAATGATACTACCCATTGGATAAACCTATGCTTTATCAATGGGTAGATGCTTTATCAATAGCACTTCTGGTTTTCAGTCTTTTGACACAATCCCTCGCATCAAGATTTTATTTTATTGAAACTTTTATTTGTGAAAATTATTGCCTTTATAAAATGAATTATATTAAAAGAGCAGTAACATCGTTAAAAGCAAGAAAAAGACTTGTATATGTCAGTGAAGTGTCTTATTTTATCAAGGAACCTGTATTGGCTACTTGAAGACAGATGTGACCCCCCCCCCCTTTAAATCATTTTTGGAGAACGTAAAGCCTAGCAGTTAAGTTGTTGTTATAAGATTCCTTTAACATCTTCAATAATGCTCTCTTATATAATACTATGTATGCCTACCAAGTATAAAATAGGTATAACTTACAAGTAACCTGCCTTGCCTAGCATGTTTTGTACTGCCACCGTACAAAGAGTTAATATTTCACAATCCCATGATCCTTACAACTTTCAGTCAGAAGTTCGCTTAATGTACAGCTCCAGCAATTGTCACATAATGTTTTCAAAGGCGCAGATAGAAAAAACTCTAAATTTTGAACACGATCTACTTTCTTTCGAAGCATGTCAACATCAACTGTGCTACATCATCAAGTTATACGTCATCAATTTGAATTAGCAATCATTCGTGTAGTTTCGCAAGAGAAGTCTCAAAGTTTTGTTAAAACAAAAGTCGTATGAGATATAAATAGAACATCTATAATTGTATGATTTGATATTGGCTTTATCCAACTCGTTGAAATGGTGTATATTCGCTCGGCAAGCCTCGCGAATATTTAATTATTAGTTTAAAATTACTATTTCCTTTTGATAAGATTTTTCATCACAGTCTGAGCATCATCTGATACAAAGTCAATACTACTCATAATTCAACCAACCAGATTAACAATTAAGCCATTTACCGGTATACACAAATACATGACTCTTTCTAACATATTTCCATCATTCTCCAGTATTTTCAGTTTGTTGAAACATTTTCTGAGTACAATACATACAAGTAAATTAAAAAATTGCCCTGCTTTTGGTGTCTTGATTTATACTGGATGGGATGCTATTGATATTGCTGTCAAATATGAATACCTTGTTATAAGTCATTCAAAAGTAATCACAAAAATTAATTTTTTTGAAAATTAGGTCAATTATGAAGTCATGCAAGGTCAAGGCATAAAAAAAATCAGAGCATGGTCAGAAATATCTTGTTGCAGGTAATGTAATGTCAAATATGAAATCCCTATCTCTTCTCAATCAAAAGTTATAAAGAGGATAACATTTTTGAAAAGTAGGTACTAGTATACAGGTGTGATAAGAAAGCCCTATCATTTCTCTTTCAAAAGTTATGACCAATTTAAAGTAATGTTAATTTTTTTTTCAAAGAATTAAGGTATCGAATTTATCAATTTATTTAAATTATTTATTATCTTTTTATTTGTTTTTATTAAAAAAAAAAAAAAAAAATTGGGACATTTCTTTGAATGGTGATAAATAATTTAAAATCGAAAACTATATACATATATGTATAAAATTTGCTTATAAAAACTTTATAAATTCACAAGCCTTGAAGGTTGAAAACAGTTACATATGTATACATTCCCAAAATCCTCTGAGAGTGTTTAGATATTGTAGGTATACCATAATCCAACATTATTATGAAATTAAAATTTCCTGATGAAATTACAGTTTTATTATACTAGTACTGTTGTGATTACAATAATAGTTATTTTCTTTCTCTTACCATCCATGTGGGTGCATGCTTGCAAAGAGCATTGAGTAAGTTATTTCCCTTTAATATAAATATTTAAGATTATTTTCATTAAAATTTCATAATTCTTAGAAAAAATTATAAGATTAAATTTACAAGAATATTTAAAAAATGATTTTATTTACATTTACACAAATGTTTTATAAAAATTTAAAATTTTGCAAATACTCTGATTTTTATTTAAATTGAAAACTAACAATTGCTATAAAGTAAGCAAATGACATCCAAAGTTCTTATCTTAGATAGGCCTGACTGACTGATCGGGTCAAAAACTATTAGGAAATACCCTAACGCTACCCGAAATATATGTAATTTTGGATCTCGTCTTAGACGGGAAAGAATAATCTAAACTTATCTTCATTATTATCTGATCATGAAAGCCGAAAGATAAAATCAACAGGTGCAGTTTTATTTATCAACTGGTTTACCATGAAAATGTTAATTTCAGGCCTGCAAAATTGCCAGACTCAATTTTAATGTACATCATTAAAAATTCTTTATATAATGATATATCCTTATAGATATATGGAACTGAATATCCTCGAAATTTCTAAACTACAAACAATTTAATACACTGTAGTAGTCGTATTACATGTAAATTTAAGTCAATCCAAGTTCAAACTGTATGACCTTGACCTTTGACCTTGACAACATTATCTTTGCTTTTTTATTAATACTGAACATACATTAACATGAAATATTTCCATTTCTAATTTTTTTCTCTCTCTCTCTCTCTCTCTGTGATAACTGTTTGAAAGCTAGCCGAGTTGAAATCTTAATCTTATGCATGCAAATCTTGTGCGCATCTGCCTCTGTGTCTGACGCTAATGAGGCCAAATATGCATGTAAATCTCGTGCGGCAGCTGCCTTTGTGTTTGACGTCAGTGGGCGAGGATTATGTTAAATGATCATTTAGAGAAGTAGACAGGCTTTCGCCTACATCAAGGGGAAAGCCTGTCCACTTCTCTAAAAGAGAATATACATATGCCATATGATATTGCTTGAATTTGCTTCATTGAAAAGAATCAAAATTCACTTTCATTTTCATTAAAAGGGCAAAAAAAGATAGCCATATGGAGGCCCAAAGACTTTACCTAAGTGGATGATACAGTACTTTTTAAAATTTGGTCTGTCTGTCCGTCCATCTGTACACTTTCATTTCTGCGCAATATCTTGAGAAACTTTTGAGCTTTTACAATGAAATTTTACACAGCAATACCCTATGATCTAAGGAGGACGCCCATGGGCCACATCGCTCACCTGAGCACTGTGGCTAGGAAAAAGTAGAAATTGGTTTATTATTTAAAAGTTTAAATCCAAAAGTAGTCCCATTACCAATCATGGTTTTGCTATTCTTAAGAAGATGATTTAAAAAAAAAAATTCCTATATATTTTTCTATTTGAAAATTTGATCAGCCATTTTGGCCCCGCCCTACCCCCAGGGGTCATGATTTGAACAAATTTGAATCTACACTACCTGAGGATGCTTCCATATAAATATGATCAATTATGGCTTTGCTTGAGAAGAAGATTTTTAAAGAATTTTCCTATATATTTCTATGTTAAACTTTGGTCGGCCATTGTGGCCCCGCCCTACCCCCGGGGGTCATGATTTGAACAAACTTGAATCAACACTACCTGAGGATGCTTCCATATAAATATGATCAATAATTACTTTGCTATTTTTGAGAAGAAAATT